GCGTGGAATTGCTCGCCAAATTGTGGAATCGGTGCGCTTTTGCTCCCTATCTTGTATGCGTATGCATCGGTTGACGAAGTTGCGCAGGGGTAACAATTTCCTTTGAACCAGTACATGCATAAAACAGGCTGGGCAACAAAACCAAGAAGATGGCTGCCGGCACAGTCAACTTCAGGCGGACAAAGATTCCGTAATTAGCCCAGCTGCGACTGCTTGAATGCCCATTCACAGAAGCAGTCATTCAGGGCTTTTTATCAGATATGTTCCCAGTGCGTGGGCAGCCGTCATCCGCTTATGGCCCGTCTGCATCAAGTCCTACTGGGAACCTCCCAGCGACATGTGACCTCTTGGAACCTCCCGCTTCCCTGGTGTGAACGCAGAGGAAAACGTCTTTATTTTAGGTAGTCGCACCGCAACCAATGGGAAAAACTATCAAAGGCGGAAACTTCCTTTTGGAGCACATTATCAAGCATTTTCAGACAATTGCCGCATGTCATGGTTGCGTTCCTCAATTCTTGAAGGCTATTTCACTTGAAAATCTTACTTTTTAAAATTGACACTGAGCATACTTGCGCTGTGTTATTTCTTCCGTCTCATATGCGTTTCTCCTGTATAATGTAATTCAGTATAGGAGCTATGACTAAAATGCTCATTAAATGTGCAATTCTCTTTTGACAAACAACTATACAGAGATAGCGTCGCTGTATATTCGCCTCTTACACCTGTCCTAGCTAATGTCTTCGTGGGTAAGGCTAGAGAAATTTCAACTGAGCGATCAGATCAATAAGCTAGAATACTACGGTTGCTACGTAAATGGAATATGTGTCATTGCCGCAACCGAAACCGATTTCGCTGCACTCTCATATACTGACAAGTAGGCACATCCGTCCATAAAATTCACGTTGGAAGTTAAAATGGCAGGTTCGCTTTCCTTCTTGGACGTCCTCGTAAGTCGCAGACCTGACGGTATCTTCCGAAGGAGTGCGTATCGAAAGGAAATCTGATATTGACCACATGCCAACGGAAATGTAACCTTATCCGCTGCTTGGGAGAAAGGGTTAGAAAAATTTACTCGGCGGACAGTATTGAGTTGGAGCCTAAGAAAATCCGCTGTCTGCTTCACGAGAATGGGTATCCCGTGAGATGCATTACTAGCAATATGATTACAAGACAAGTAAAGCGCCCACACTTACTGTGGAAAAGAACACGCCATTCTCCCACATCCCCATTCAAGGGGATGCGGCAAGTGATCTCCTCAGAAGACAACTTGAACAGGCCGTGTCACGAACCTTCCCAGCAGCGAGAGTTCAGATAGTATATACAATCGACTCGGTTTTGCATGGGAAGGTAAGGACAGGTTGCCAGCTCAGACCACCTCCATGTGCATTAACTCATTTACTTCGTTCTGGGAAGCAGATTATATGGTTCGAATGAGTTGGCGCCTATCCAAGAGAATATGGGCAACACCTCCCAGCTTAGCTGCGGAAAAGTGAAATCAGGGGGCATAAACAGCGCTATCCTGGCGCACACTGTTGGTTCCGGACATCGTGTGGACCCCGACAAAGCCTTCCGGATAATTTGTAAGGTCTCACCAAATTACTCCAAGTACCTGGGTCAGCGTCTGCTAACAACAGCAGAAGCGACCGCTACCGGGTTGAGGAGACCGGTTTTGTGAACAGAAAGGAGCATCCTGCAAGTTCTGTGCCTGCCATGGCCAACGGTCATTTTAGTTGCGTGCGCTTGTCTGCGCTTTTGCCCCTCACCTGCCTCTGTTCCACCCTCAACAAACCCTCCCTGCTGCCTAACCAGGGTTCCCCTTATCTCCCCCTACCCCTATTCCCACGATCCACTTTTATGAAAGGACGAACATTGCTGACCGCATTTTTACCTTGTAACCCCATTCCCATATAAGTGTACTGGCCCGATGAGAATATATCGAATGCTTACGGATTCTCGCCAACTGCTCTTGTATATATTATTATCATTTGTCAACCCACTTTTTTTAGGAGCAGGCCTAACCGACTTGTTATCACGCTGCCTTGATGACTCGTCCAACGGTGCACTAGCGATCGGCGCGCACGATGAGATCGCTAAAGCCGCCGGCCGATATTAGTGCTCTTCCTTACCACCCAGATAAACCAAAAAGCCACTCGGCCTGCTATCCCTCAAGGACACAATCTGATTGGTCCGTTTGCACCTGCTTGTACTTGGAGCTCTTCTTATGAAAGGCGTTATTTCACTCCAACGCAATACAGCTATTAGTGCTCATTCAGTGGCTCCATTCAACTTCAACCGACCCTAATTAATTTGGCAGCCGGGTTTCAACGTTTGCTAAACTGCGCAGCTACTTCTTATTCAAAATCAAAATTAAATGTCTAAGGAGTGACCAGAACTGAGTTAATTTTAGTTCAAAGTGCATACAAGTTCCTTTAAAACGTGCATAAGGCTTTGAATGGACGCACCTTTGAAGGAGCCCTCCACAGAGAGCTTTGTGAAGTGCACAATGATTCCCTGAGTATGTTGTTGTGCAGTTATGACCCATTCACAGAGGAGG